TTTTTAATTAAACTAGTAACTTCTTGATAAGAAACTTGATATAATCTTTCAATATTATTATTAATCGAAGATATTAATATTCTTTTACGTGATTTAAAACATGGATCAGAAGATGTTGTAAAAGAAATAGAATTGAATTCAAAAAAAATAAACAGTACAAAACTTGTTCTTTCTATATTAATTCCATGTTGTCTATTTATTATTTCACAAGATTTTTTATTCATCCCATAAAGTTGAATTGATAATCCTGATAAAACTGCGATAAAATCATAATTTTTACATATATGTTTTTTCACATCGTCAAATACCAAAACTTCAATTCCTTGTTGCTTATAAAAAAGATATAATGAAAAAAAATTATAGAATTTATATAAAAATAAAATAATAACTGAAATTATTAAAATTTGAAACATTTTATCCTATTGAGAAATTTTTAAAAAATCTCTTATTTATATTATGATAATTATTAATTTTTATTAATTTGATATTTTAATTGTGTAATTATTTCAAATCTAATAACCTATCAAAACTAATACAAATTTTTCCAAATATTAATATATAACAAAACAAAATAATAAAATTACTAAATAAAATCTAATATAATAATACAATTAAAAATATTATCATATATAAACAATAAATTAATTTTTGAAGATTGTGTAATAAAAACAAAATTTCTTGACTATACAACAAGTAAATATATGAAAACTTCAAGTTGTTGGCTTCAGCTTTTTTTAAAAATAATTCACGTTCATTATCATGTTTATTATGCCAATCTTTTAAATATTCTTTATGGGTATACTCAACCCTATGATAAATCTCAGATTGTTTAATTTTTTCATACTCGCTTAAAATAAGGAGATTAGAATAAACTTTTCTTAGTTTGAGATCACACTGTTTTCTTTTTCTCTTTTTATTATTTTTATCAAAAATATTAGCAAGATGTTTTAATTCATTTTTTGATAAATCAGGATAGTTAACTAGAAGTAATTTCCAATAATATGCTTTTTTAGTAATAACTTCATTTGGATTTCTCACCAAATTTGATATTATAAAATTTGCCATATTGGTACTATCATATTTTATTTCTTCATACAAATCTCTGTAATAATATCTACCAGGTTCTAAATACATATTTTTAAAAATTAATTGTAAGGAAATATTACAGTTTGAAAAATTTAAAATTACCTTATTTATATTGTGATAATTATATATTTTTATTAATTCAATACTTGTATATTATTAATAAAATTTATCAAATTAGAAATTTATAAGTATTTTTGTTGTTTTAGATTTAAACGATGTTTAATACGTTGTATTAAATGTTGTTTAAAATGGGAAACCGAACACTTTTATGATCCGCCTATTTCTTTAGCAGTGGAAACTGCGTTAAAAAATTGGGAAACGCTATCATATATGCAGCATTTGGTCACTATTGCTCCCATGCTTTGTATTGACGTTTTTCCCAATTTTTGGATTTGTTGGTTTAGTTTAACAAATATATTTAACTATTTGTTATCAATTAATAATTCAAAAGATATTTATAATAAGTTTAATTTTGTTTATAAATATAATGATAGGATGAATAGAGTTTGGCATAATGATTCTAACACAAATCCTAGAAGACCTATAAGAAGTAGTCATTTTGGTTGTATTACCCATCTATATCAAATCGCATTATTTGATAAACATGATAAATCGACAAATAATTATATTACCGTTGACAAAGATGATCAAAATTTGATCAAAAAACTCAAGTGGTATCTAACAAATGATATTGTGGTAAATGAGAATGGTGTTGCTTTAATAGAAATCCTTACCGGTGCCACTAATGTTAAACTGAAGGAAGGAAAAAAATAGTTTTCACGAAAAAATCTCGTGATATGTAGTAAGAGTGATTTTATTATTCAATATTTATTATTGTTAATAATAAGTATTAACTCTTACATATAGGAACTGGCACATAAAATATGATGCCTCATTTCTTTATTTAGATGATTCTATAAATAATAAAGATATTTACATATTTACAAAAATTAAAAAAAAGACGATACTTGGAATGGGAATTTATTGTCCTTTATATCTAGATAGAAGTATTTTCAAAGTTGTGAATGAAGATTATTCTATTCAAGAATCACGGATTTATGCTTTAATCGAAGCAATTAAAAATTTTAGCATTTTTGACAAACCGTTAAATATTTTTACCAGTAACAAGAATATCTGTTCCTTATGGAATAATGATAAGTTAAAAAATTTTAATAAAAAAAACAACAGTAAACAAAACAGTCTATATGAAGAATTATCGAATTTGTTAAAAAAAAATATAATTAAAATTATTTTTGATGAAGCCAAAACATATGACAATAAGTTAAAAACTAGAATTAATGATTTGTTTAAGTAATTTAATTAATTACATCAGTATTAAATATTTTGTCTAATTTTTCATAGAAATCATTTTTGTATTCTGTTTTGAAAATACTATTTCTAATTTCATTTAAAAGAGGTTCATTTTCTTTAATAATTTCTTCAATTTCTTCTTTTTCAAATTCTTTTTTAAAGTTGCTAACCGTTTCTTTTAAAATATCATTCAAAAGATGTTTTTCGTCTTGGGATAAAATTTGT